GAGGATTTTTTTTAATGTGTGTATTTTTGTACTAAATGGTGGAGAACCAAGATATGATCCACCGTCGTTCTTCCTTCTCTAAAACCGGCTTGTTCGTCTTTGATTATTTCCCCTGAAATTAGCCAATCTTGAAGTTTATAATTACTAACCAGATAAGATATCTTTCTCTGTTGGCTGTCCTATTATGAATGTCAACTCTGATTTCTATTTTTTGTAGGAAATTGCCTTTTATAAGGTCATTGATTATATTTTACATGGAAAGGAAGAAATTAAAGTTATCCCGTAAGTAAAGTAAAATAATTGCAGGGGGGTAATTATGATACAAAGTTGTATGCAATCAATTCCGTCAATCCAGTCTACAGAATGTTGTTGTTCAGTCTGACTCTTCGCCACTCCATGGACCATAGCAGAACAGACCCCCTGTCGCAGTGGTGGGATTCAAATAATTTAACAACCTGTTCGGACAGAGTCAGGATGGCTGTTGTGGGAGTCGTAGCCCATCTCTATCCTCCTGCTCCACTGCACATGCTGGACAATACTCCCCCGACGGCCAACCTGACCCTGGGCAAACTGGTTGTTAAATTACCTCCCCACCCCACCCACTATCAAACTAGAGCCTGGGCACTGTGCTGCAATTGAGAAATGGGCAATGGAACAGCTGACACAAGGGGAGGAGGAGGAGCAGGGAGAAGGAAGAGGAAAAGGGAACTTCTCCTTCCCTTGTGCTGTCCACTCTGTTGTAGAGGTGAAATGCTACAGTTTGGGCCAGTTCGCCCAAACCAGTAATAAAAAATGGTACTGGTTTGCAGAACCGGCAGTAAAAAATGCTACTGGTTTGCAGAACCAGTAGTAAAAAATACTAAAAAAGTTTTTAAAAAGTTTTGATGATCGCACATCACACAGCCAAAATCGGGTGTGTGTATCCATTTTTGCTCCCAGCAGGCTTCCCTGATAGCAGGGAGTGGGTAATTTAACAACCGGTTAATCCGAATCGGTGCAAACTGGCTGAATCCCACATTGCCCTGTCCTCCACTGTCTCTTGGAGTTCATCTAAATTCATGTTCATTGCATCAATGATACTATCTAACCATCATTCTACAGAATACAAAATCATTTTTAATAAAGACTAAAAAAAATAAATCAGTGTGTTGTTGTGAGTACCACCCCCTCGGTGGTGCCCTCTAATGTGTTGAAATTGTATTTCCATCAACCTCATTAATTGAGAATTATTTGGGAATTTCTAGAGTTATAGTCTTTGCATCAGGAGAGCCTCAAGCTGAGAAGAAAGAGTTGGAGTGTTGTGACTGAGCTCAAATGTTCCCTCACTTATGAAGATAATTAACTCCCAACCTAACACGTTTTACACCTTTTTATGAGAATAAGTAATACACTGCCTCTCTAATGGGTGAGAAATGAGGTTCTTTTAAAAAATATATAAATGTATGAATTAAAGCACAGATGCCACAATGAATCTTTAGCTAATAGCAAGACTACCATGTAAGTTAAGATAAATATAGATATTCTAAAAGTATCAATGAAGAAAATTAAGTTGAAAATGTATTTACTGCTAAGACACTCCAATGTAACTGTAGACCAGGGATGTCAATCTCAAGGCTTGCAGGCAACTCATGGGATGCTTAAATATGGCCCGCAGGGCCGCCCTGGAAACAGTGAAGGACCAGCTCACAGTGCCTCTGCGAGCAAAAATGAGCTCTGTTTCACTGGCAGAGGGTTGCAGGAGGCCTCCGCAGCCAAAAACTGAGCTTGGGACCCTGTTTTTGCTGGCAGAGTGCTCAGGCCACCACAGGATCCCCTGACATGAGTGATGTTGAACTGGCAATGCCCATTCTGGCCATGCCCACCCTGAGCCCCTGAGGTCAAACACAACCCTGATGCGGCCCTCAATGAAGTCGAGTTTTACACCCCTGCTGTAGAGTAAAGGGAAGGGAAGAAGTAATATAAATCATCTTGGCATAGAGTCATAGTCTCTTAAGCACTATGCATTAAATAACAGGATCAACTGGAAGTTATCTGGATAAGTAAATGTGTCAGTGACATTGCAGATATATAAATGGATTAGACAGGGCCATGTGTTCTGTGATGAACTAGATATCCTATCAGAAACATATCCAAATAATATACTCTAAAATGATTTTAAATAGGAAATAATTCATTCTCTCATACAAACTTATGTAATTCCTTTCTGAGGAATTAAAATGAACCTGTTCAATATTTCACATATTTAAAACTCTGAAAGATCAAACTGGCTGGAGGAGATAATTACACAACCAATAGAATTAAAACTGGAACTATTCTTATTAGGAATTATCACATGGAACTATGAGGGGGGGAAATCAAACATCTAATACTACATGTAATAACGGCAGGAAGAATCACATATGCACAAAACTGGACAAACAAAAATACACCAACAGAAGAAAACATGATTTAAAAAGTACTAGAATGCATCAAAATGGACAGACTCACAAAGGAAATAAAAGACAAAAAAGAATCAGAGTACTATTTAGTATGAAATGTATGGTACAAATGGCTAGAGGAAAGATGCAAAGAATAAGAAAGCAATAAAAAAATGAAAAAAGATTAAGAGATTAGAAAATAAACACAAAACCGCAGAATTAACAAGAGGAGGGGAAATGTAAGATAGATTGTATATAAAATAGTATGGAATAAGAAATATAAGAGAAATATATGTATATAGAAGAACACATGAAAGATATGTAAAAACATACGCAGATACATACATAAATATATAGGCATATATATAAAGGTATATATGTATGGATAAAAGGAGTATAATGGATATTTAAATATGTAGAAATGTAGCAAAGATGATATGAATGTTTATTAAAAATAAATTTTTTGGGAGAAAACCCTCTGAAAGATCAACTTTTGTGCCACAATTTTTTATGATGTTTTCATGTTTTCAAGTTAATACCTATAAAACATATTGGTTTATTTCTGAAAATGGTGAAAATGCAGCCATATCTACACTTCATTAGGAAGTCATTCGTTGTTGTTCCTTCCCTCAATTAATTGTTCAAATTCACAGTTTTATGTAAAAATCCTAGACTACTTTAAAAAGCATGTAAAGAAAGAACAGGAAAGTACATTTCACGGTTGATTAAGTGCATTCCTTTTCTATCCAAGCCTAATTTTTCATGGTTTTTTTTTTCCATTTAGAAATCCCAAGGAAGATCACTGGGCACTGAGTAGCGGCCTCCCTACTTATGTAGCAGAAACTGGTTTTGTAAGTATTTATGTTGACCTCTTTGCATAACTCAAGTGTACTTTGGCCAAGAACTAAAGATCTATGTAATAAATTCTTCAAGGATAATCTGGGCTTATTTTCCCAGATAGGAACTATATTTGAATCAAAGAGAAGTTTCAACAGCCACTCATGGTATGAGGTTGGCCTGAATTTAAAAAAAAAAAAAGAAATATGTATAAATTCTTGGATCACAGCCATAATATGTCAATCATATGTACTTTCAGTTTTTATTTAATTTTCAAAATAGCAAAATATACTGTACATTGACATATTTTTCCACAATTTTTCAGATTTGCAATATTATGAATATAGCAGCAGATGAAATGTTTACATTTCAGGTATTGTAAAACTGTTCATAAGAGTTTTATATTTGCTCTGCTGGTGCCAGGTGTGAACAATGAGCAGAGTTGAAACATCTATTTTATCATGTTGTGCCTATAACACACTCTGGCAACCTATCCCTGGGCACAATTAGATAAAATTACTAAGAACTTAGGGAGGGTCAATCCTAGCCTTTTTGAAGTTGTGCTATGACTCCAGTCTAATTTGGGGCTTGATCCCTCCTCCCTGCCAGGCTGGGTGCTTTCCAACATCTGGCAAAGGGATTGTCTACATCAGGGCTGTCAAAATCGCAGCCTGTGGGCCGAATGTGTCATGTGCTGGCCATGCCCATCCCCGGCTTAGCAAAGGGAGGGGGAGTCATGATATGTCACATGATGCTGCTGCGACAATGCGAGTTTGATACCCCTGGTCTATATGAAAAGACAACGAAATATTCTTGAAATCTTTTGATTTCAGGCTAAGGTTTTTACATATTTTGGCAAGCTAACATGGTTTCCCTTGCCCCCAATTGATGTTGGGAGCACTGTTTAAGACATTTCCCGGTCAAAAGAATTAGCTGGTGGCATCACCATTGCATGGGGGACACCCATGGGGCTTCTTTCATGTCCCTGTCAAAGAGCTGGAGTGAATGATGGGAGTTCACCTCACCACACAACAGCACTTGAGTCTCAAACATAGGCTTGCAAAACTCCAACCCAGCATCCTAACCACATGACCCACTGCGTTCCTTACTAACATGGTCAAAGTTCTCAGTTTAAAGAGCAAATCATCTAGGGCACATCAATTTCTCTATTTCTATGAAAATCATGTTAAAAAGAAAACATTGCACACAACATTTGTTTTAGTAACACATTTGTGTTGTATAAATAGTTTTATTATTGCTAGATCTTCAGATTAGAGCTAGATCTGTTTAATACTGACATGCTGGTGTTTTAAGAAAGGCCCTGTTGATGAATCAGGATGGATCATCAAAAATGTTCTCTCAATGCCAATCGTCAACAAAAAAGAAGAAATTGTAGGTGTTGCTACATTTTACAACAGAAAAGATGGGAAGCCATTTGATGAACAGGATGAAACCCTAATGGAGGTAGGCATAATTAATGGATATGAAAATATAATGTGTGTTTCCCATATAATAGTTGATACAATTCTGCAGTGGCTAATTTAACTTCCAGTATGGCAAACAGAACAAACCAACCCATTCAGCACAGTTCCATTTCTGTTGTTGCCTTCAGTTTTGACTTGCTATAGCAGATAAAGAAACATTGGGCTGAGAACATCTAATGAATAAAATTAAGATTCATATTATAAATGGAGTTTTCATATTATTCCTATTATACCTCTCCTTTGTAGATCCTTTCATGTGCCAGATGGTACCTCACTTTTTCTTTATATTAAACTTGAACTGTCCATTGGCCATATTCTAAGGAATTTTGGAAGTTGCAGTCCTCTAAATGTCCTCAAACACATTTGTAGGATACCAGTTTTGGAAAAAGCTTTTCTTTTCTATTATTCTGATATCTTTCACATATCTACCATTCTTCCTGTTTCCTTTTATCTTTCACTTTCTTTGCCTCATGTGTAATTTCTTTTTATTTTAAGCTCAAATTCTATTTGGGACTCCTTATCAAAGAAATAGTCCCATAACTTCCTGGATGAGTTATTGAGTTTGCACAGTCAACATTATTAACAGATTATGAGTGAACAGAGCAGCACCATCAATCCCGCTATCCAAAAATCTTTTTTATATTGCCGCCAGATTGTTGTTTCTTTTTAATTTTCTATTCTCTGGCTTCAATCAATGAAGATAACCACCTTGAACACTTCATTTTCACATGAAAAGGATGGCAGTGATATACAAATCCAGGGGGAAAAATAATATTCAAGAGTATTAAAAATTGAAAGCTCAAAGAAAAATAAAATGGTCAGGTCAAAAAGGAGATCCGCTTCAGTTTAGTAATAACATATTTCTGTTTTGTTTTTGAAGTCCTTAACACAGTTTCTGGGCTGGTCTGTGCTCAATACTGATACTTACGATAAGATGAATAAACTGGAGAATAGAAAGGACATTGCACAGGATATGGTGCTTTACCATGTACGATGTGACCAGGAGGAACTTCAACAGCTCTTGGTATGGCTTTTAAAGATTTGGCTCTATTCTAATCCTCTTTATTCCTTATTTCTTGATTAATTCTATTTTAACCTTTAAGGGATTGAGAACTATTTGGATCTTCAGTGCTACAAGATAAGACCGGTCATTAAGCATCATTAGATAGCAAGCATTGAACAAGGTTGGGGTTTGTTTGTTGTTTGAAATCATTTAATTGTCAGAAAAAATATGTTGATGGTACTGGGAGGTTGCAAGTTTTAGCCACCTGCTGCTTTAGATTCCAAAATATGTATGCTCATAACTTCAACATGCCTGTGTTTTTCCACAGCCAACAAGAGAGAGGCTTGGCAAAGAAGTGAACGAATGTGAAGAGGATGAACTGATAGAACTTGTAGTGAGTATCAATTGTTGTGAGTGCTTTATTATGGCATCATGCCCTTCTTTTAAAGATTACAGCTCTAAACTGGGAAACCTTTTATTCTGTTGCACATTACATAAGAGAATATTATAGAAGTAGATAATGATGTCCTAAGATCATAGTCCTAAGGGTAGGGCAAGGAAAAATGGGTGGGAACTAATAGAGGGAAATCCAACCTGGAGCTAAGGAGAAATTTATCTACTCAGTCAAACAGCTTGCTTCCTGGGGCTATGGGTGCTCCATCACTGGAAGTTTCCAAGAGAAGTTTGGACAACCATTTATCCAGGATGAAATAAGGACTCCTGCCTTGGGCAGAGGGTTGTACTAGAAGACACCAAGGTCGCTTCAATCCCCATGATTTTATGTCTTTCCTGATATGTCTCCTCTACTACATATAGTGTGCTTCAGCTAAGGAAATATCAATTGTTATTTTTTTATTTATAATGTATTAAACAAAGGCCATACAAGGCACACACCAAAATATTGACCCTATTCATCACAGATGTTTTTCTAATGAAAACTCACCTCAATATTTTACCCATGGGTTTTAATTAGGAATCTAATCTATAAACTATGATAGTAATACTGTATCTTTAATTACTGCTGTAAATGTGATTGGTTGCTGTTTCCTCAAGCGGCCATAAGATGGAGCCAGAATGACTGTTAGATGCTGATTGTTGGNAAGAGGTTAGAACTGGCAGGAACCCACCGCTGGGTATCGCTTAATATATGGTCAGAATCAAGGAACATAGGACATGAGTATCAAACTTGTTGCCGTCATGTGGCATATTACAATGTTTTCTCCCTTCGCGGAGCTGGCGTGGGCGTGGTCTGTGCGTGATGCATCCAGCCCCTGGAATGCCACTTTCACACCCCTGACATAGGACATAGAATAATAGAGTCGGAAGCGATCTCAGAGATTTTCTAGTCCAACACCCCTGCTCAAGCAGGAGACCCTATACCATTTCAGATAAATGGTTGTCCAGGTTCTTTTTGAAAGCCTCCAGTGATGGAACACTCACAACTTCTGAAGGCAAGCTGTTCCATTGGTTGATTGTTCTCACCATTAGGAAGTTCTCTTTAGTTCTAGGTTGCTTCTCTCCTTGATTAGTTTCCATCCATTGTTTCCTGTCTTGCCTTTTGATGCTTTGGAAAATAGTTTGACACCCCCCCCCCATATCTTCATAGGAGTCCCTCAAATATTAGAATAAATATAACCGTAGAACAGTAGACAAAGGTCAAATGCAATAAAAATATGCATCAATGTGGGATCTGAGTATTTTCAGAAACTCAATGAAAAATGAGCCACCGCCAGACAATATGCCATTCTCGGTATTATCAGCATTTGTATGACTATTAAAAACCAAAAAGTTTTAAAACTGTTGTATTCTACAGGTAAAGAAATTAAAATCAAGGCAGGTTAATATTGATCTTTTTCTTGTACCTTTTGTTTTCTCTGGACTGAGTAAACTTTTCTAACACTCCCTTAACAATCTGGTTATTCTTTGTCCCTTCCTAAGATCAGGTCCATATTCTTTCACATTATAGAAAACAAATGTCAGTCATAATTTATTTCAGTCTATGATCAAAATTCCAAAGACAGGTATTTGAATGATGTTTTACTCTTCTTGACAAAATATTTTTGATATTTGTTTGTTTGTTTGTTTTAAAATATAATCTTTGGAACATTTTAAAAATACCTACGGTGTTCAGTATTTACTCAAAGTATTTACCATTTTGGTAAGGCAAGGGTTCCCCCCCTTATATACGTGCTAGTCATTTCTATTTTTCTACTTGCATTTTTACATGTTTTCGAACTGCTAGATTGTCAGAAATTGGGACAAGTAACAGGAACTCATCCCGTTACATGACGCTAGGAATCCAAACTGCTGAACTGCCGACCTTCTGATCAACAAGCTCAGCATCTTAGCCACTGAGCTACCGTGGCCCTCATTTATAATTTTAGACAGATGCTGAATAGAAAATATATACTGCTTGAAGCAACTGAAACAGTTTTGCAGTATAAAGGATATTGTTCATACTATTTGCCTCATCCAGTTCTGGAAATTCCAGCAAGAGGGATAAAGAGAGCTTAGTTGTTTGTGTTTTTTTCTGTGCGTTACATGGTATATACTGACAAGGAAATGGCTTCATACTAGTGCTTGACAATTCAGAGTCTTAAATGCTTGGCCATGATTCAAAAATTTAAATGATTTTCTATAAGTGTCCTAGGTTCTTCTCACTTCTATTCATAAACTCTCAGATTTTTCTGATTACCTCTCCTTTTCTATTTTCTTTTTCTATTTTCATCTATATACAGTGGTATTTTGGTTTTCATCGTTAATTGGTTCTGAGAGGTACTATGAGTACCAAACAAATTTTTCCCATAGGAATAATATAATGAGTCACAAGATAGCTGACATCAACAAGTTCTAGCTTGGGCATTGAGTACTAAACAAATGATGAGTACCGGGACAACATTTATAGATCAAAATGCTTTGAGTATCAAATTTGATGAGTTTCAAAACAGTTGAATACCAAGGTACCATTATACTGCTACTTTCTCTACTATTCCTATTGTGTGCCCAATTGAGTCTTCTAATTTTATTGGTGGTGTACTGAAATCATATTCATACAGTCGCCCCAAACACCCCCCTCACAAGTATCCATATGCAATCATCAAACACATACTCAGAACACATGTATTTGTATACAATAATTCTTTTTCTTACACACACAGATGTGCATGGTATGTATGTGCATTTGTGTATAAACACACACACATATCATAGTGCAATCACTATTTTTTTCCATTAAAAAAATATTGTCCTTAGGAATGTTCAAATATCATACATTAAACAAGTAAAGGTTTAAAAGAAATGACAATGAATTTTAACATTTAATATAATTTGTATAATAAGTTGTATATGAAGTCTGGCCTGACTTTGTCCATGAAATCTATTTTTTATTAAGACAGAAAGAGAGCGAAATCAGAAATCATGCTTCTTAATTCAATAGATTGCCTAGGCAATTTATCTTACTGGCTTTGCTCTTCTGCAGGTTTTACTGTGGTCAGCCAATAAAGTATTTGAGGAACTGACTGACATCGAAAGACAATTCCACAAATCTTTTTACACAGTGAGAGCGTATTTGAACTGTGACAGGTATTCAGTGGGTCTTCTGGATATGAGTAAGCAAAAGGTAAATTGTGCCTAAGTGTGGCTCAGTATAAACTTGTCTATTTCATGTCCTCTTCCATTTACATCAAAATGTTTGTGCAGCAAAATCAGAATGAAACAAACAAAATAGTGCAACATTGACATTGCTATTATCTACTATTCTTCAAAATATTCCCCTAACATATTTAGTTTTGATAGAGAGAATATTTGTAGCTCCAGATTGAACTGTGGGGTCCTTGGTACTTTCTTAGCTTGTTGGTTTTCTTGCAGAATTTCATTACCAAACTAGGTAACACATCAGTGCAAGAGCAACCAAGTATAGAGAGTATTAAGGACTCCATATTTAGTTTCATAAAGTGATCTTCCTGCACACAAATTTTATGCTCAGTCATTGAAATACACCATTTGCCTGCCACAGTTTCCTACAGAACTGTGCAAGTCAAACATTTTTTTGAACATTTCCCCAATTTCGTATCAGTTTATTGGTTAAATTCATTTATTATTTCCATGCCAGTGGCAATAGCTCATCTTTTCCACTGGAGATGATAGGGATGAAAGTTGGGATTTTTCATATGCAAATATCATGTACTTAAATTTCAGGATTTACTTGAGTTACTTGGATTTCAACAAGGGAAAAATGATGCAAATATTCAAAACAGACTCCATTATTACACAGATGTGTAATTGTGAACCTATTCCACCAGAATCTATCATACAGTGCTAAAAATAGTCCCAGAAAGAATATCTGTTTGGAAAAGATATTTCTCCCAACTAAAAAAGTATATTAGGAAGAGTTTTATTTTTTAAAATGTATTTCTCTTACAACTTTTATTTCACTTTCTAGGAATTCTTTGATTTGTGGCCAGTACTAATGGGTGAAGTTCCACCTTATTCAGGACCTCGGACTCCAGATGGCAGGGTAAGTTACTAACCAGATAAGTAAGTAAGTAAGTAAGTAAGTAAGTAAGTAAGTAAGTAAGTAAGTAAGTAAGTAAGTAAGTAAGATCTT